ACACTCACTGTAACCTCTTGATGTTTTGCCTTCATATTTGTGACTTGGAGCTGACGTCTATTTGTTGCATTTTAATATTAAATTTCCTGCAATTTACTAGTCAAATTTGAATTAAGACTCCTTATGCCTTTCTTTAGTTGGAGATAAGCAATTAATAAGTTGCTTTGAATTTAACTTGTGAGAGACGAGCAAATATTAACACAGTAGAGGGACATTGACTGTTTATGATAGCTGTGGAGTATGATTAATGAGTACTAGAGGAGAAATGAACAATACCATGTTGCTTGTTTCCTAAGGCCTTGAGGGTTATAACACAAGTACTTGTAATTGCAGTCAGGTGTTTCAGAGGTTATATATTTTGTGGAGAAAAGGCTGGGCAGTTGTGATACAACCTATGTTGCCTCTCACAAGCTTCTATCAATGGCAGGTGTCAAAGTAAGTGTATTGTGGTTACCTTTCCAGGATAAATTCTTTCTAAGAATGGAGTGTTTTTTTAATGCCAAGAAAAGTCACATTTCATGTAATAGAAGTCTAATAAAGCAATTATTCATTTGACTTGAATTTACCTCTTATTCTCCATCCCGTTTTTATTTGATAGTTTGTTTTCCCCTCGTTTATAGGTAAGAAGACATCACCCTCTGATGAAAGAGATCTCAATCAAGTTTGATGAGTTATAGGAAGTTCATCTTTGCACTTGACTATAATTATTTACATCTCCCTGTGGTTTCTGATGCTCATGGAAGTGCAACCATTTGAGGCAATGCACTCACCCTTCCCAAAAATGAGATTATTGACCATTTGGACCAATCTGAAGTATGTTGTTGTTTGTTGTAATGCTGCTTTATAGTTGATAATATCCTCAAAAAAATATAGCAGACCTTTTCTTGATCTTGTGATCAACTTTGTGTAATTGTGTTTGCCTTCATGTGCTATCTAATTGCAGTTGGCAGGTTTCCCATTGTGATTTCTAAAGTCTTTTAGGATGTCAATGGTACTATCATTACCTATTTATCTACCTCAGTAATAGTACACATTCTTTGTTTTCTCTTTTTTTAACTCTCTGCTTACGTATCATATTCTAATATTCATCTAAAAAAAAGGACTATGAACCCAACAAGGTAGTTCAAGTGGCAAATGAGCTCTCTTTGTGGGAGAATTCCGGGATAACTCGGGTTTGATTCCCATAAGTGACAATTCCTTTTGGGCCAGCTTCTGTGCCTCTCAGAGCGAACCGGGTGGACTTGGACCGTTAAACGGATAGAGAAAGGCCCGGACCACAATGTGTGGTTTACACCAATCTAAAAAAAGGACTACACTTTTTATTACTTTTTTCCCTATTTTATCAATAAAATTATAACATGTGACGAGAGTTTTACTCACTGAGAATTCAAATATAATTTTCCTATCTACCCATCAGGACTATTATTAGGGATGATCATAGTTCGAACCGAATTGTGTATTGTAGGAATCAACTTGAATCTGAACTGTATGGATGATTTTAGTTCTGGTTCCATAATATTAGAAACCGAAATTGTTACATCCCCCAAATGTTCTGTCGGGGTGTGGGGGCCTTTAGGGTTGGGGATTCAACCTTTGAGAGAAGGAACTGAAATTGTCAGTTTTGATTTTAAATCGTAGAAAAACACACTCACACACACAATTTAAAGTTTAACTATTATTTGATTGATTAAAGTTTATATAACAATTATTTGATTAAAGTTTAATTGTTGTTTTATTGAAGTTAAAACTTTAAATAACAATTTAAAGTTTAACTATAACAATTATTTTTATTTTTATTTTCTTTTTAAAAAAATGAGAATGAATTTTTTTTAAAAAAAATAATTATTAAATTTAAATTATTTTAAAAACATAAAACAAAGTTTATTTTTTAAAATTCCGATTTGAACAGACAATTGAAACTAGATTATTGATTCATCACTTTTTGAAATTGAAAATTGTCGATTTAAAAATTGGAACCAAATCATGGTGATCGTTCACTATTATCAAACAAAGCACATTGAACTCTTTGAGGAACCAACTTCATAGTGCACAGACCATGAAAGACCTACTTAATACAATTATTACTTAATACTTGCATTTAATTTAATTTATATATTGTATAAATTTAAAGTAGTTGAATTTAAACACATTTTCTAGTTTTTCTCTCATGCCCACCAATCAAGAATATACAAGTTCTTGGGGTAAGAATATACAAGTTCTCATATAAATCAAACTCAATGTCTCCCAACAAAATGATAAATGATGGAATGGGGCTTTGGAGAAGTTAAGTCCTACATGTCTTCCTCCTTTCATCTCTCTTGAACTATGTTGTGTCACTTAAACTTATAGCTTTGTTTATAAAAATGAAGAAGAAATTATAAAAATAAAAATTCGATCTAAATGAATTTTATTTACCATTTGGAAAGGGAAATTTATTATTATTATTTTCCCACTTTTTTTAATGAAAAAATACAAATTGAGAACATGAAAAACTTTATTTGCAATAGTGAACAAAATAAAATTTAAACTTAAAAGATTGTTATTATCAATAAACATTCTCTCACATGTCACTTCTTTATGAAGGCCTGGAATTTCTACACTTCATATTCAAAATAATAATGGGAGATGGCAACAAGGCGGTGGCGGGGAGTATACTCCCCATCCCCAATACCCCGACCCTGTCCCCGGTAGGTAATTGAAAAAAAATTTTGCCCCCAACTCCGCGGAGAGTTTGTCGGGGACAGGGAATCCTCATCCCTGACCAACCTATAGTTAAAGTGTCAAACTAATACAATTTTTTAAAAAAAAAAAAAAATTAAAATGGTGAAGGAAAATGCATAAAAATATGTTCTGCCATTGACATAGTGGCAAAATTTAAATTCCTAATCCTCTTCAAATTATGTTCATATACCTAGTTTCATGGTTTGGTTGGTAGTCTATGCAAATTAAAAGTCATTTCTAGCCAAATAAATTAGTTAATAAAAAACTTTCAAAAAAAAATTAGTTAATAAAATAACTCATAGATATATATGTATATATACAAAGCGGCAAAATCAATATATATATATATATATATATATATATATATAGAAAAACGCTCATATGTGATCGTGTCATTAGGTGTGGTCGTGTGGTCGTATCTGTGTCGTTGAATCAGTTTAATCTACAGACAGTGATAATTCTGAGAATTTTCGCGCGTTTTAGTAAGTGGGGGTGTTATGGTAATTACAGTGACCATTTATAGCGGGCGGGTTCCAGAATACACAAACAGTGTTGACAACATACACCAATAGTGTAATAAAACACACCACAGTGAAATACACCAATGGTGTATTATCGTGTTATGGTAATTACAGTGGCCATTTATAGCGGTCGAGTTCCAAAATACACCAACAGTGTTGACAACATGCACCAATAGTGTAATAAAACACACAAGAATGTGATTTTCCCTATTCAGGTGTTTTATGACAAGTTTACCCTTACAATTCTCTGGGTAGTAGAATGTGCGCGAAAATACTGAAAAAAATCTTGATTAATATGATTCATTAGATCTATCTAATATAATGGTCTATAATTGACCATATGACCACACCTAACAACATGGCCACATGTGAGCACTCATATATATATATATATATATATATATATATATATATTATTTATATATATTATTTATATTATTAAATTTTAGAATTAAGACACTAAAGATAGTAACCCTAATACGTAATACTTTATTCACTGTATTCTCTCTCTCTCTCTCTCTCTCTCTATATATATATATATATATATATATATATATATAGGCGGGGAGGTGTATCCCTTCCCCACTAAGAAATTTCAAAAATTCTTCGTCCCCATCTCCGACATTGTCATCCCTAATAATAATACTCCGTATCAAACTACATAGCTTGCAAGTCTATGACCTATTTAGCGTGCAAATTTCTCTCTCTTTCTCTTTTTGTTTTTTGTTTTTTGTTTTTTTTTTTTTTGTTGTTGTTGTTGTTTTTTTTTGTTTTTTTTTTGAAAAACAAATCAAAATCAACAAATAAAAACTATAATTTCATATATTCAAAATAAACTGTTTTCTAATTTTTAAAAATGCAATTAACAGCTACGTTACACACTTATAAATTATAATGCAAATATTGAAATATATATTCGATAAATAACAAGTCTCTTAACCCTATTGATTAATCATCACGCCAAACAATAATGCATTAAAAGTTAAAATGTATAATATAACTTAAATATAATAACCGTTTTTCCTAATAATGATGTCTGTATACTTTCAATTTATAAGAAATATTACTTCAGACAATATGATACATTGTCAATAATATAATGTATAATACATCATACAACATGATTTATTCCATACACATATTTGAGTAGTGATTGTAAGTTTTCAGCGTCATATCATAAATAAATAGAGTAATGGGAGTGTTTAGCAAATAGTTGTTAATTGATAATTGTTAGCTAATTGAGTTAGTGAATTTGACTAGTTGTTAGTATTAATTGACTGTATAAAGATGTTTGGTAAATTAATCATTATTTGATAGCGGATTATATTATAATTTATTTTTTTAATAGCTGATCAAAAAAGTTACTTTGAATTTGAGCATTTTTTTGAATTTTAACATTTTAGAGCAAATAAATTGTTATAAAAATATACTTAATCAAAAATTTATATGGATTGTTTAACAATGTCAAACAAATCAAAATTGATTGACAAGCTAACTATGTTACCAAATAAGGCTTTGTATTTTATGGATATTTTTTGCATATACAAATATATATACATACGCACTCGTAAACCTAGTAGTCTACTCGTGCATCTCACCAAAATCGCCTTATAAATTCGCTTTGAACTCCCAAATATTCCTTGTTATTCTTACCATATTTAGTACTTGATACGAGTATTATTTATTTATTTATAATAATAATAATTATTATTATTATTATTGTGACAGGTGTGTATTTATATATATATATATTCCATCGCCTCTCCTCCACTACAAAACCCAAACCGTACCCATTTTCCACCCGGGTCGAACTCGTCTCTGTGTGGAGACTCCGTAGAGATGGTTTCGACAAGACGAAGTGGATCTCTGCCGTCGTCCACTTCCAACAATAACAAGAGATCCCTCTCGTCGTCCGACGATAAATCTCCGTCGCCCAAGCGTCACAAGTCACTTCCTGTTAATAAAGTATTTTGCTCAATCGCCACCGCTCCTTTCTTCCTTTTCCTTGGAAAAGTCAAATTGTTTCATTTTTTTAGCATTTAATTTCAGGCGGAGAATGATAATGCCGATTCGTCGGAGAAATCGACGGCTCCGGCGGAGAATCCCAAGGAGTCCAGCTCAACTGGTCCACCGCCCGAAGCCGCCGCGGCGGATGGCGGCGCGTCCTCCCCCAAGGCAGAAGACACGACCGCCGTCTCCGTTGCTACACCTGTACCGCAAGGTTTACGTGTTTCTCGCTGAAGTTTTAATCTGCTTGCATGCCTCGGCGGTGCGCAATGTGAATTCGAGCTTGATTTTTTTTGTTTTTTGTTTTTTTCTTTTTTTTTGTTTTTGTTGAGTATTAGGTGTTACCCCTATAATAGTTGAAAAACCCTGCTCCTTAGCCTTGGTAAGGAGGGGTAGTGAAATAATGAAGACGCCCTGGTGTAGGCTCCTGTCAGAGTATCCGCAGGTTTACTCTCTTTTTCTCTCTTCTCTTCTGCTAGGATCCCCTAGTGTTTTTAGTAGATTTGTTTTGATTTTCCATCTTCATTTCTTCCACTTCTTTAGTTGAATTAGAGCTGTTGAATTAGAGCTGCCCGATATGTTTTCTCTCATGGTGCTCTATTTTTTTGTGTTTCGATATAAGTATTGTGTTTTGATGTAAAATGTGAATTTACTACAGAACTCAACTATGTCAATCAGTTTGTCAAATTTCTCGGTTGGCTCCCACAAGTCTGCAAATCTTTTAATAAAGGACCAAACAGTTAGTGGCATCTTGTGTACAATAAGACTTACACAGGTATGGCTTTTAAAGTTTTGATTCTTTAGTTCTCTCCTTATTGTACCCTTGTCCCTTGATGCTCGGCAAGAGTGCATTTTAACACTTGTGTGCTGTTTCATGGACTTACTAATGCCTGAAGGCACTTCTCTTGTATTCTCAATAGTAAAGAATTGTTGGTTTAGGGATTATGAGGGTAGTGTGCTTTTTTGGCAGATCAACTACTATTCTGTATAAAAACCACTTTCAGACATTCAGTTTCTAGGCTGACATTTGGCCTTAGTCTCCTATCTCATGTGTGTTCCAACTGAAAATATGGCAAGAAAAATTTATGAGTGAGACATTTCTCAATGCAATTCATCCTTGTCTTAATCAACTAAATCTACACCTTCTGACTTAATCAACAATCTAAGACTTTTGAATTTCTGTACAATAATGCCATGTTGATACCACTGTTTCAGATTCTTGTAAGTAAAATGTATAGGGACACTATAGTAGTCACTAACTGCAAGCTTTGAACCTTACTAACAAGCATGTGTAACCATGAGGGATTATGCGGACTAAACTTTTGCTCAACTTGGGTACCCTTTTGGCATTGATTTTCCTTTTTCTTTGGAGATGAACTACATATTGTGTACATGCAGTATGAGTACTCATTGTTTCTGGAAATGATCAGCAAGAAGGCAATTCGGTTGCTGTTCTTGAGAGCAAGGGGAAGAAAGGATCTGTGCAAGTAAATGGGAAGACAATTAGGAAAAATACTACTCATGTTCTCAACTCAGGCGATGAGATTATCTTTGGTTTGCTGGGAAGCCATGCTTATGTATCCTTTAGCTTTCTTCCTAATGAAAGTGATATATTCTATAGACAAATTTACTTGTTTTTATTCTCTCTCTCTCTCTCTCTCTCTCTCTCTCTCCCTTCATTTTCTCCTCCACATTCATCTTGAACATTCTTGACATTTTGTATCTAGATCTTTCAAAAACTTTCATATGATAGGGTACTTAAATCAGCTTCATCAGATCTTCGGGCTGGTGTAGGAAAATTACTGCATGTTGAAAGGCGAGCAGGAGATGCTTCAGCTGTGGCTGGTGCTTCTATTTTGGCTTCCCTTTCAAGCCTGAGACAAGATCCTTCTCGTCTGAAACCTACATCTCAGGTAAGGGATAGAAACTATCCTACGAATGAGCTGCCTTCTTTCTCTGTTGGCCATGAAGATGAGCTTGATGGCCCTGAAGTCAATTCAGCTACAAATGTTAGTGTTAATTATGATGCTGATGTTGGAGTGCATAGCAAGAATCTTCCTATCGATGGAAACTTGGACTCTGTCCTAGAGTCTGGCAATGTAATTGTCTGTCTGAATTATTCCTTTTGGCTTTTGTTGTGAAACTTTTCCAATTTGTGAGATAAAACTAAGGCACAAGTATCTGTGAACAGGTAGAAGAAAGAGAGTGGACCAGAGATTCGACCCAAGCATCCACATCAGGGATGTCTTTAAGGTGTGCAGTATTCAAAGAGGACATCCAGGGAAGGATCATTGATGGACGGGATATAGATGTTTCATTTGATAACTTTCCATATTACTTAAGGTAACAACTCTTCAGAACATAATCTTAGCATTTAATCATCTTGTTTGTTGTAATTTTTGTTACTTTGATCTTTGTGATTGTTTGCTTAAGGTAATGACCCTTCGGGACATACTCTTACCATGTTTTCATCTTGTTTGTCTTAATCTTTGTTTCTTTGATCCTTGTGCATTATTTGCTTCATGGTTTATAATTTTGACGGCATTGCTCTAATAGTCCTTGGAATTTCTTGTTTGGTTACTGCATTAGAATATCTTTGAGAGGAAGTTCTAATTCCTATTAGATGAATTCTTGGACTTTGGAGAATTCTATTGTAAAATGGTAAAATGATAGGTTGGACTGATAGTTTTGTGGGATTATAGCTGAATAGTAGTGAATTTATCAAAATTTAGCTTGACTCGGTATTGGCAAGCAGGATAGGTGTTGGACTGATAATTTTATAGGATGTTGAGGTAGCCACTTGTCAGAAAGTTGGAGTGTGATGATGTGGTGGAGTGGGGTGGTTCATGGCTGAAGTGATGCTAAACTGAAAATGGAAGAGAGAAAATTGAATGAAATTAGGGTTAGTAGCTGGGGAAGTATCTCGCTATTTGTAGTAAATAAAGTTTAGGTTTTGGAAGGAAAAACAAAACCTGTCACCCTAATTGATTTGTCTTTGTGTTTGAGAGTTTGGGTTTTGAATCAACTAGTATTTTCACCCGTGCGATGCACGGCTATGTTGTTAGGGTGCAATTATAACACATGTATATGTTGAACATATAGTAAATAAAAGGTTGAAGATATAGTAAATAAACGAAATATAATTTGTTTGCATTTCGCAAATAAGAAAACTACACATTATTAATGTATGATTTTGTAAATCAAAAGACTATACTGTTACCCTATTTACATATGCATACATGCATTTCTTTGCTGTTGATAGCAAATTGGATTGCTTCCTTTTTGGAATTCCAGTGTTGCAGTTTGTTCTGGAAGCTAGAGCTACTTTTAGCAGTTTATTGGATTAAAACTCTATAATTTTGTAAATCAAGTCAATTTTATTTGGGAAAGCCTTTTCTTGCAGTGAAAACACGAAAAATGTGCTGATAGCAGCTTCATACATACACATGAAGCACAGAGAACAAGTTAAGCTTACCTCTGAGCTTCCAACAGTCAACCCCAGAATTTTACTTTCTGGCCCTGCAGGTTTATTACAGATTTTTCAATAATCCCTTTAATAAATGATTATCTGTGAAGTGAATGGATTTAGATATTATTTTTCGGGTTTTTGATGGGTTCTTTATCTATTTAGGATCTGAGATATATCAAGAGATGTTGGCCAAGGCACTTGCTCATTATTATGGAGCAAAACTGCTGATTTTTGATAGCCATTCATTTCTTCGTGTAAGATAAGCCTGCATTCACTGTATTTTTTATAAGACTATTTAATATTGCATTACTAAGTTTTTGAATGACTGGACTAGCAACAACTTTTCAATATCCATCATCTTTTCCTTATATGTCCTTTCTCCTTTGTTCTTCATCAGACAACTGCCCTTTAAAAAAAAAAATCATTATTGGTTTGTTTCAGGGTTTGTCTTCAAAGGAAGCTGAGCTGCTAAAGGAGAAATATAGTGTGCAGAAAACCACTAATGGCACTGACCAAATTCCTAGAGCACCCGAATGGGCAAAGGGATCAGGACATTCATCTGGTAAAGCAGTTGTGGATAGCTCTTCAGATGCTCCTTTGGGCTTAGAGTCTCATCCAAAGATGGATAATGATGATGCACCCTCTTTAGTGGGGACATCGAAGAATTCCATGTTTAGAACAGGTAAAGTGCTCTGTTTTGTGCTGGTCCTGTTGGAGAGGCAATATTGGCATAGGAAAGAATGTATAAATAGGATTTTAAAAATCTTTCAGGCATTCTTCAGTTTGTATTCTGTATTTCACTTTGGCTCTCTAAATTTTCAGGTGACAAAGTTAAGTTTATTGGTTCTGCTGATGGATTATATTCAAATTCTTCACCTAAAAGGTCAGGGTCTAACGATGGCCTACTTTTGCTCCAATTCTTTATATAGCCATTTCTGCACTCCCCCACCCCCCCCCTGCCCCTTGCCCCCTCCCCTCAGTTTTGGGTCATTTTCAATTGTAGGCACAAGTTAATTACCAACTTGTGAAAATTAGTAGCTTAAATAATCTCCATTTACAAATGAGATTAATAAAAATGTCCGATGAAAGTGACACCTCATAGAGTTATTGATTATTGCTCTGAATTGTGAAGAGCTAGAATGCCCATCCTCAGAATTCACCGCATCCAAATTATTGTTCTTCCTCAAGATTGTGTTTATGGATTCCTGAGCTTCATTCTACATAGATCAAAATTAGAGAGAGCTCCATTACTGTGGGGAATTATTGTAATTATCATCGAGGAAAGTGGAGGATGCGACAAAAAAGGACAGGATTACTATTTAGTATCAACTGCCAAATTTGGTTAGGATGTAATAAAACCAAAAAATGGACACAACCAGAGTAGTAACCAAAGCCTCAATAGTTCTTGTGGAGTTTATTATTTGTAATAACTGTCAATGTCTCAGTTTATTCTTGAAATTGAGATCCTGCATAATCAAGTAAATCACGTTGTTTGCCAACTTAATACAAGTTGATCTAGTTAATATAGACTATATAGTTTTGCTGAAGTCATCCATTGCATGTTGTTTTGTTTTGCTTACTTTGCAGTCTATATTGTTGCCTTGCTCATGTATTTTTGAAAATATGATGTTCAAATTTTCATGCTGGCTTGTAATATATTCTGTAATTGATACTTTATTTATTTGCATAATCCATCTTTTGTGCTGCTTTTCAGAGGGCCAACAATTGGGAGCCGGGGGAAGATTATGTTGCATTTTGAAGATAATCCATTGTCTAAAATTGGTGTTAGATTTGAAAAACACATGCCAGATGGGGTTGACTTTGGGGGGCTTTGTGATGTTGGTCATGGTTTCTTCTGCAAGGGTAATGCCTTTAGTGGGGCTTCTTTTCTGTTTGTATGTGTTTTGATATTTAAGCTGTTATATTGACCTTAGGATTATTTTTCCGTGTGTTATCCTATGAGAATCTCAGCCAATGAATTGCGCCTGGAAGCCTCAGGTGCGGAAGATCTTGACAAGTCACTCATCAACACATTATTTGAGGTGTGCCTTCTTTTTATTTTATTTTAACTTTGATGCTAACTTTTGAGGTAACTTTTTTGCTTTGTTTTTATGTTTTTTGTTTCAATAATAGAAACATGGTTATATATGACTTGAAAATAGAAACAGAAAATCACTCCTTTTGTTGCTTTCAAAGGGTTACCGATGTTTTGTCCCACTGGCAGGATAGATCACCTCGGACACCTCCTGCTGGACCATTTAGATTTTGTATACGATTTTATATAATGATGATAAAGAAAAAACACTACCTAGCACAGTTATTATTATTTTTCCACAGAATTTGAAAACATAAATGGAAACAAATGTTAGCAAATGACCTAAACAAATTTGAGTTATATTTAATATTGCCATTTCATAGCTGTAACCATCTTCCCAAATCTTGTCCTATCTTTACAGGTTGTGTATGATGAAAGCAGGAATTCCCCTTTTATTCTATTCATGAAAGATGCTGAAAAATCTATGGCTGGAAATTCAGACTTCTCAACATTTAAAAGCAGGCTTGAGAAGCTTCCTGACAATGTTATAATTATAGGTTCACATGCCCACACTGACACTCGGAAGGAAAAGGTAATTTTGCATGTGAAGAAAACTACTTGACCATTCTTCATGTGAAAATACTTCTAAATTATTAGCCTAAGCATCTACTGACATATGCATCTCTATGTTAGTTTTAGTGCATTAGTGTTTGTGTCTAATTTCATTAGAGGTTCCATAAAGTTGCACTGAAGATGCACAACATGTGAAGGCTCAAGGATTCAAAAACATTGCCCAAGTGGACATGTAAATTAAAAATCTGATGCTTAAGGTGGAAGGCCACTTTAACATCTGAATACCTTCTTAAATTCACTATACATTAGAAGGCTAGATTTTTTTTTTTCTTCTTTCCCACTACCATGCCAATCTTTTTGTTTTTCATTTTTATTTTTATTGTTTAGGAGTTGCACATTCCCTGCTTATGAAGATTCTACATATGTCAAGAATTTTTCAGTCCAGTGTTAGTAGGGTTCATACATCAGTTGTCTTGTAACCTTAATTTGACCCAATGCTCTATCATGTAGCTTTGATTGGAAAACCTTTCTCCCACCCCCCTGGGTTGGGAGAACAAGTAGCAAGTACAAGAAGACAAAAATAAATAAGAAGAAAATTATGTAGTAATATAAATAATTGCAGCCACTTTAACTTTGTGTCTATAGTTAAAAGCACTTCTTTTTGAATTTGTACTTCTTTGATGTAAAACCTAAACATATATTTTCCTTCCTCACATAGTCACATGCTGGTGGATTGCTTTTCACAAAATTTGGCGGCAATCAAACTGCTTTGCTTGATTTAGCTTTCCCGGTATGCCCTCTATCCTTCAATGTAGTGTAGTTTATTTCGTTTTTGTGTGTGTGTGTGTGTGTGTGTTTTTTTTTTTTTCCCAACTCTGGTGACTAAGTATCATTATTCTTCTATGCTTGAATGCAATGCATAATTATCACACTTCAATGGCTGCAGGATAATTTTGGGAGGTTACATGACAGGGGGAAGGAAGTTACCAAAACTGCTAAACTTTTCACAAAACTTTTCCCCAACAAAGTTACTATTCACATGCCACAGGTCTGTTTCAAATTGTTTGGTATGTATTTCCTCCTACCCTTTGCTCTTTTCCTGATATGTATTATGATTACAGGATGAGGCACTACAAGCTAGTTGGAAACAACAATTGGAGCGAGATGCTGACACCCTGAAAACAAAAGGAAATTTGAATAGTTTAAGAACTGTGGGTGCCCATTTTCCCTTGAGCTTCACACCTATATCTTAGTAGAATCTTTTTCAAAAAATTGTAGCATTATTCTGCCTTTTTCATTTTTATTTATTTATTATGTTGCTGATATGCACCTGCTTTATGGCTTCTTACTACTTCTGTGAGGATACTAGTAAATGTTGAGCATTGGCGCACTTCAAGAGAAAAGACGTGTAAAGTTGTAATGGATAATCAGCATGGAAATTCTTAACAAGATGTACAATGTTGTGTTGAAATAACTCTAATATCCTGTTTAGTTTAGGTGACAGCATCCTTAATCTGGTTTATTGAACCTTAAGCTTATTCTGGTAGAGAAAAGGTTTGGCTCCAAGCTCCAATTTGAGGTGGCTTAGAATTTTGCATGTTTTTCATAGCTGTGGTCAACTGCCTTTCTCAACTTTCTGGAACTGCTGGAGGTTGAAATTTTTATTCTTTCACTTCACTGTAGTGAACTTTCGACTGGAGAATTTGGATATATGATGTATTGAAGTCTCCAGGTTAATATGCAGCTGATATTTTTTGTTATATAATATGTTCTAAATGATGGGTTTTCTTATTGTATAGGCTTTAAGTCGAAATGGATTAGAATGTGATGGACTGGAGACATTGTGCATTAAGGACCACAACTTTTCAATTGAGAGTATGGACATTCATTTACTTCTCATTTCTTTTATTATTCTCCAGTATTGGGAAGGCTTGGATTTTAAATAAAATTGTTCATATGGGTGTTTGAAGGTGCGGAGAAGGTAATTGGATGGGCTCTGAGTCATCATTTAATGCAAAATCCTCAAGCAGATTCTGATGCCAGGATTGCTTTGTCTCCTGAGAGGTAAACTTAACTAGCAAATATCAACTTTCACTTGCTAGTTTGTTAAACCTGTTTAAACAATGTTACCCTTGGTGCATTATAGCAGCATTCAGTATGGGATTGACATTTTACAAGCTGTACAGAATGAGTCCAAGAGCTTGAAGAAGTCACTTAAGGTGTTTTAAGGGCTATTTAATATGTTTCAAGATAAATTTTTCTTCACCCTTGAAGTCATTCAGAACATTTGAGATGGATGTTGTCTATTGCATTGAATGCACTAAACCTTTTTACAACTGGCCCAGGATGTTGTGACAGAGAATGATTTTGAGAAGAGGCTTCTAGCAGATGTTATACCCCCAAATGATATTGGAGTCACATTTGACGATATTGGTGCACTGGAAAATGTCAAAGATACATTGAAAGAGTTGGTGATGCTTCCTTTACAAAGGCCTGAGCTGTTCTGCAAGGGGCAATTAACCAAGGTTTCATATTATTATGTTTTAACCATATCTAATTCAAAGTGAGGGTTGACGGAGTTTTCCTTCCACATTAGTAATTATTAAAAGAACAGGAAAATTTTATTTACCTATATAGAAAAAGAAAAATGGAAAATAATGTTATCCTGCCCAATAGATATTTAATTCTTGCTATATTATGTAGATAAAAATAAATAAATAAATTCTGTAATGGTTTTGTTGATGTGGTCAAGGATCTAATTGTAGACCTAGATGTATTTAGATAGAAACTGTTTCCCTCATACTAGCCAACAAAATTTGATAGTTTCTTCATTTGCACTTACTTATGGCTTGCAACTAGTTTTTGAAAATAATTCTAGTTCTTTAATTTGATGTTATCCTTTCCTTCACAAGTTCTGGATTTTCCTGGAATAATGATACTTGTTCAGCAGTTCAGCCAATGCTTATTTACTAGTAACATCTGTAGAAAATCTCAGTGCTGCTATTTCTTTTGCAGCCCTGTAAGGGAATACTTCTTTTTGGCCCTCCTGGAACTGGAAAAACAATGCTTGCAAAGGCTGTTGCCACAGAAGCTGGTGCGAACTTCATCAACATTTCTATGTCAAGCATCACCTCAAAGGTTTACCTGACTTGTGAATTCATCTGACAAAAATAACATAGATTGGTGATTCCATTGTGAAATTGGACTTCCTTACATGTTTCTTTTACTTTTCATTATTTTTTCTTGTGCTACAGTGGTTTGGTGAGGGCGAAAAATATGTCAAGGCTGTCTTCTCGCTGGCTAGTAAAATTGCCCCTAGCGTGGTTTTTGTTGATGAAGTATGTCTCTGATACTATTGCAGTACTACAGGTTATTCTCTTTTTGAGATTTTTCCCCCATCTGACTGGTTTGTTTTCATCCTTGTCTTTCTAAGGTTGATAGCATGCTGGGCCGTAGGGAAAATCCAGGGGAGCACGAGGCCATGCGCAAAATGAAAAATGAGTTTATGGTGAATTGGGATGGATTGCGGACAAAGGATACAGAACGTGTTCTTGTACTTGCAGCTACAAATAGGCCATTTGATCTTGATGAGGCTGTTATAAGGCGGCTGCCACGTAGGTAAGGAGGCAAGCAATTATTTGGAGTTAAAAACTTAAAATTTTGATACTGATGCTTCTTTCATCTTGGTTCCTCAGATTGATGGTCAGTTTGCCAGATGCTCCAAACAGAGCAAAGATCCTGAAAGTGATACTGGCAAAAGAGGACTTGTCACCAGATGTTGATTTGGATTCTGTTGCTGGTATGACGGACGGATATTCTGGAAGTGACCTTAAGGTAATGTGGTATTTACTATTTTCTGTTTGTATTGTGAATTCTTTGTTCTTTTGGATGCTAATATTGTGTCCTTTGTTATTGCAGAATTTATGTGTGGCAGCTGCATATCGTCCAATCAGAGAGATTTTAGAAAAAGAGAAAAAGGTAATTAGGCCCATTATGTCACTTCTCAGGATTTGGTGCATATTAACTTTGACACATTCTTTAAATCATATTTCGTTGAAGTTGTGATTGATTATTGGGTCAAATAGTTCTTTGATATAGTTTCTTATTGTCCAACTTTTATTTTCAGAAATTGATTTTAGGAGTATCAAAATTGAAGTTGTACTTTAAAAAAAAAAATTGACTTTAAAATAGTGCACGTAACAAGCAGGGAAGGTATAATTTTTGCCATTACTAACTGAACAAGAAGTGAATTGATGCTCAGGGCTTTGTTCCTTCTATCCTTTCCACTTTATTTTCAATTTAGATGTAATAGGCAATAAAGTAAATTGATTGATTGGCAGGAATTGTGCATCATATAAATATTTGCCTCTTTCCCTGCCCTTTATTTGGATGCTGCAATTGATATGAAGTTGTTCCCCAAAGTCCCGATAACTATACTAACTTGCATCTTACTAACATCTGCATATTTTGTTGCAGGAGCAAGCTGGTGCCTTGGCAGATGGTAAACCTCCACCAACTTTGTGCAGTAGTGCGGATATTCGGCCATTAAATTTGGACGACTTCAAACATGCTCATGAGCAGGTGAGGGAAAATAACTGAAGTCTTGATTTTCTCTACACTTGGTATATATTATATACATGGTTTGTTTTATGAAAGTATTGGCGTCGGTGTTGTGTGTATGTATAGGTTTGTGCAAGTGTGATGTCAGAGTCCATAAACATGACAGAGCTTGTTCAGTGGAATGAACTGTATGGGGAAGGAGGGTCCAGAAGAAAGAAGTCACTCAGCTACTTCATGTGAGAGAGAAGGGAGTATTATGCTATGGGCTTTTCCTCCAGATGTGAGACTACCTGGTTTTGCTGTGAGGTTAGCTTGTCTGTAAAATGGAATGGGGTATAGGATTATTTATATAATGTACATGTGAGTGAAGAAGAGGAGATGAGATATGTTATAGAGGTAGAATATGCCTGCCTTCTAGGCGTCTGAGAGTATCGACCAGTGCGACTTTTTTGTTCATTGTTTAGAAGAAGAGTATTTAATGTACTACTAAAAATCTAGTTGTCTTGAGAATAATCCTTCTTCCGATAATTGTGCATATCATATCATCATCATCATCTATTGGGAAATTAAATTTATTAGGGGGGTTCGCTGCTTTCAGCCTGCCTGCCTCGGTGCCTCCATATCCCTCGCCAAATTTCCCAGGAAAATTAACTGAAATGTGCCATTTTGTTTGAACGAGAGACAAGAATGGGGTACTTTTTAAAATTGTACAAAATAGGGAAAACTCATTTGGAATTTGAGTTTTTGTTAAAAAATGCAAGTCAAATACGATTGATAAATGCATGCCTTTTTCATTCATATTTATCAATTTTTTTTTTTTAAAAATGTACCCGCATTTTTCTTGTTTTGTACAATTTTTGAAAAGTGTTTTGACACAACTGTTTAGTTGGATGTAGTATAGCAATTCAATTATAACACAATTCTTTGGCCCGGAAGAAATTGCAATTCTCTCTTTGTTGAAGTGCAATTTATACTTTTTCTGATATGAATTGCAATTCAACAGGAAAAGGAAAGAAAAAAAGGAAGACAATACCTTAATTCTAAGTGTTTAAAGTCAATTCCCACTTTGCATAAACATAAACCGTCTATGGGACAACATCATGAATTTGGATTGGAACCTTAGAATGTTGAGATTCGAGTCAAAATTAGTCATGTATATATAGGAAATATGTATCATGAAATCCCCCCAGTGGAATCTTGATCTTATTGAACATCTTTTGACATCATCTTTTATCTTGTTCAGTGTTCACCACCCACCAACTGAATATAAGCCTGTCAATCAAATTCATATCACAGCCCTTTCCCATTGGAAGATTTATTAAGTTTTGAAACTGAACAGTCTCTTCTTGAATCAAAAGTTAACTACCAACCAAATTAGGCACAACAATGCGAGAGAGGGACAAGGAACACAAGATGATGAAGCTAAAGCAGCAGCAGGAGCATGTTACAGAATCCAATCCCCAGAAGGATTATTTCAAGAAAAAAACAAAGAGTTACTAATCAAAATCCAGTTTTTATACATATATCTAATACCATGGTTAACACAGTATCCACAGACACTAGTTATAAGGTGCATTCATTTTTGCAATTTAGAAGAGAAACTCCAAATTGAATTAGAGAGACGGGGCAAGGCAGCTTCCTTTTGCCACCAATCATCCGAAAACAACCCCCTCAGCTGCACAAACAAAGAAATTGACAACCAAAGTTATCACTACCAAATCTCATAAAAAAAAAAAAAAAAACAAAAATGGATTACTGAAGAAGCTTCACTTGGCTTTAAAATAAGGAGCATGCCGCGTGCACTATCAATTATAAATGAAGGAATTTTAATACAAATACACACACCTGAGGTACCATCTTGCACACAAAATTCAAATCCTGAAGTAACGCCAACTTATTACCTAAATCTACAATAGGAAATGCAGCTATGTAATTATGGACACTTAACTTAAAACTGCAGTGACAATGACAAAGAACGTATGTAGATGTTTCTTTCGCTGTCACTAATTCCACAAAGGAAGGAGGAACAAGGGTTATTGATTATCCACGTGTTCATCAGATAAACAATAAGCAACAAAACGGAGGGGAAGAAAAAGGTTATAATTGGTGTGTAATGAGCACGTGTGTAATGCCACTATATTGAAAGATACAAACTTAAAACCCTACCTTTTTGGTTTGTTCTTCACAACAACAACAGATACCAGTTAAAACGCCTGGACTGTCAAAGTTACTTCTCTTTTTCGAGTCATGTACAATACCTGATATGATATGCTGCTTAAAAGGAATTACCATTCGGTGGCATAATCTATTCAATGAGATAAACAGAGATACCAACAGAGAATGGCCCATTGCAAACACTTAAAGATTTGTCTTCCTCAAACCACTCTCTATAACACTATGGGTGCATAAAGCAACCATCTTTTGCCCGAGACAATCTTTATTCCTTAGAAGGTAAATGAGAAATCAACCTGAAGGTGGTATAACCCGTTTTGGATACAACCATCCCGTATCTACTAACATGGTAAATGTTTGAATGCATTCCGCCCAAGATAGAATGTTAGGCCATAGAATAACGAGAAACAACATACATTAAAACGAAAACCTCCATGGTTGATGCATATTACAGATGCAGAATTCTGCATCACATCTTCTAAGCCATTTCCTACATCTCTAAAACTCTTACTTGAAATTCTTCATCTCGAATCGGGCAGAGATATTCGAACACAAACATCAAACAACAAAAAAAGATTCTGAGGCTCAGCATGCAAGAAGGGAAGTATATAGTTACAGCAGCAAATTGGTACCCTCATTGAGACTTACCATTTTCTTTAAAGAAATCCACAGAGCCAAAATGTGAACATAAATACAAGCAGAATCTTGTCAGGTTTATTTAGGAAAAGAGTAAAAAAAGAAAAGGGGAAATATATTTCGACATTTGTTTTGTTTGAGAAACCCTAGTTTATAGATCTTTGGGAGGCGGAGACTTACCCTTGGCCGTCGAGGTTTCCCTGGCCACTGCTGCCTCCACTGGCGTAGGAATTGTCCTCCTGAGGCTGCCACACGGACTGCCATGCCTGCGACGGCGGTGGCGGAGGCTGGACGTACATGGACGGATCCACACCAGGCACGGCGGGCCTTCCAATCATGACACCGGGGGGCGTGGGCTGGCCCATTGGCGGGTAGTAGTACGGGACGCCGCTAGCGGTGGAGCCGGCGACCATTCCGGCGGCGGCGGCGGCGGCGGGGCCGACGAGGGCAGCAGTCTCGTCCTTGATCTCGTCGCGGGGCACAATGTCGACGAGGAAATCGAAGATGTCAGTGCGGGTGATGGCCGCGGCGATGTCGTTCTTCTGTAGGGTGCGGCGCTTGTTCTCCTCGGCGTGGAGCCAGGAGCGAATGGTGAGCTCCAGAATGAAGAGCTCGCAGGCCTTGGCGAACAGGATGGGCGCCTCCGCGGAGATCATACGCACGTCCTCGTCCGCCTTCATGATCTTCTTGATGCGGGCCAGAGGGAGCTGGTGGTTCTTGAAGTCGTTCACCTGCTCGATCTCCTGCCGCTGGTACGTCCAGAACATTTGCAGCTGCTGCTGCTGTTGCTGGAGGAGATGGTGGTACGGCGGCTGCGCCGGCGGGTACCCGCCGGCCGTCTGAGCTGCGGCTGCGGCTGCAGCCGCCGCTGCTTGCTGAGGGCTGTTCTCCATTGTTCTTCACAGAAAGAAATGGAGAGAGAGAGAGAGAAAGAGAAATATGAGAAAGAGGAAGAGAGAGAGTGGGAGTAAGTATCTACTCTCTCTCTTTCTCTCACCCCCTTTTTATATCCCTTTTTTTTTTCTTTTAATTAACAGTCTGTAAAAAGACTTTTTTTAAAAAAAAAATTAATATTTTGCTATTAACAGAATTGTATACTTACTTAACCACTTTTAAATTTGACTTAATATTTTATCCAATCACACGCCTTACATAAAATAATAATAATAATAATCCCACTGTTTTAAGTGAATTCCACCCCAAACCTAATGAATCTTTTTCTCTCTATTAAAAAAAAAGTTTGATTATAATATCTTGAAAACATATAATCATATTTCTATAATAAGTTTGAACTTCAAATGCTTGTATACTAGTGCTTACAATCTCGCAACATGTGTTTGTTAGCAAAATAAAATTTATGAACTTATTTTGAATTGATTGACCAGTTGAGTTGTGTCTCGACACAATCATATCATCTATAATGAATTAATGATAATATATATTGTTACTTATTTTATGTCATTTTTCATAGTATATCACTATATTGACATTTGTGTGATTGCGTTCTAACAATAATCAAGTCTAGTAGGACTCGCTTAGAATGACTCAAACCCCTCTCTTGTATTAACGTCTAAGCTGTTTTTTAATATAAAATAATTATTACAAACCATAAAATTTTAAAATTCTTTTACCAAGTTTAAATCCATTTGATATAGAAATGAAACAAGTGCAAGGGTTACGAATTTGATTCCTGTCAACATCATATTGACTGAATTCATCGCACGAATTTTTTTGGTGTAGTTTAAAATTTTTTAAAATTTTAATCTTTTTCATGTGTAATTTATAAACTATTACACACAAATATAATTTACCAAGTAAATACTTTCATCAGATAGTGGCAAAAAAAAAAAAAACTAGAAATAAAACTAAATAAAATTGAGAAACAAATTAGAAAATAAATTATAATCAATGTGCTTAGAAGTGGAAAAACCTTTATTACTGTGGGCTACTGTGGACGGAGAGGGAGAGAGAGATGGGTGATGTGGGCCCCATCGAAAATGTTATATCCACCCATAACTGATTAATATAAAGCAAAGTGTGTCTCTGTGTGAAGTGTGAAAGTGGGTAACTTTCTTTTATATTTTTGCTTTTCTTTTGACTGTTTTTCTCATTTGTCTTGTATCTTATTGGAGGAAAAGGATGAACATGTGGGGCCCATCATCTGTGGGGTCCGTGAAGCAACTAATGATTTTTATTTAATTTTTCTTTTTCAGGTAAAGATTATTTCTTTATTTTAACTGAGATTTTATTTTTTGGGTTAAACTAGTTATATATAGTTCTGTATTAGATTTGACAATGACAACAAACACTATATGTTGTTGATGGAGAATATAAAATAGACTAATGGTGATTAAGAAACTTTTTGTTTAATAATTCAATCATTATTGTGTAGACCATATTTTGTCAATTGTAAAATAATGTACATTTAATACAAAAATAATATACATTCAGTACAAAAATAATGTACATTTAATATATTAAAAATATACTTTTTTGTTATGGTTCACATAACATTGTATGGACCATGGTCCACGCAATAATTTTTGTTAATAATTAATATGGATTTTTTTGAACTTCCATTGCACAAACCTTGCACGCCCTAGACTAATCTGCAAATTTAATTAAAGCATAAGCACAAGAAATACTATCACAGAAGATGAGTAGATGAGAGAGTTTTGATGTAAATAAAAAACATGATCCCATAACACCCCCTATGTTCTGATGCTACATTTCAGAGGTTTCTCTGTATAACTTAAGGCTTCTACAAACAAACTTTCCTTTCCTGTATTTAAAAGAGTTGAAAATATTGTTGTTTCAATGATGTAATAATCTACACTATACCTGCAAATGAAGCTTGTTTGATAAAAGACTTGAAGCTATCACTGTTTCATTGATGTTACACTACATTGTCCCTGCAAATGAAGCCGGTTGAATTTGATTATGCACTGGGTTTAGGTATTGGTTTATATCCCTTTGGTCGTTTTGAGTATGTCAGAAGAGGCCGGCTGGCAACGGGGTTGGGCTCGTTCTCCTTGCTATCGTTTTTTGTATCAGCCTCTTGTGGTTTCACTTCACCACCTGACATATGATCTTGTGCTGGGAGGTTCTTGGTACTTCCATCTTCCTCTACCTCCTTGGGCTCAGTTATTACTTGGAGAAGAGGCCGGCTGGCAATGGTGTTGGGCTCTTTCTCCTTGCTATCGTTTCTTGTGTCAGCCTCTTGTGGTTTCGCTTCACCACCTGACATATCTTGTGCCGGGAGCTTCTTGGTACTTCCATCTTCCTCGGCCTCCTTGGGCTCGGTTATTACTTGGAGAAGATCTGGAGGCAAGGCTGCAGGGTCCAACTCCAGAAACCCCGTGGGAGCGTTTGGAGCTTCTTCACCTGTTAGCACATATGAAAGCACTTGATGAGAAAATCTGAAGATCTCTACTTTTGGAATTGTGCGGGTTGCATTGGGGTCTGGATGCTGCTTAAACACTGATCTGTAGCCGGGTACTTTGATTAAAGGAACGACTTTAGCATCTTGGTTCTCACTGAAGTCCTCAAGGACTAGCACCATTTCGTAGCTGTGTATCTCATCGTCTGGAGTGAATGTGTTCCATTCTGGAGACCAGTTCCGGTACAGAGCCCAGACATCCCCCTTACTGGGAAAGATTTGAATAACTCCTCGCAAACCTTTTGTCCACTTGACCTTGTGAGAGAATGTATTGAGCGATGAACAGACTACAGACTTGCCTATCCAGAAATCACCGCTGGTCTTGGGAAATCCAGAGAGAATCCATTTCATTGGTCCAAGTTCACTGTTGCTCTTGGAGTTCAACCAACTGATACTTGTTTTAAACGGACTTTTAGATATAACCTTCCTGATCATAGCATAATATCGGGGCATGCCATCATCGTTATCGTATGCAGCCCAAACTTGATTCTCAGCAAATGAAGATTCAATTCTATCCTTGTCAAAATCATGAAAATCTGAATCAGGAACACTCATTGACTGGACCGCAATAGCTTTTGAGTCTTCATCTGTTGGTTCTGCAGAGACAGAAATCTTCTTATTCTGGGTTAAGTTACCAGAATGCTTAGGTACACCATCCACATTGTTTCGTTTCATACAATCTTTTACAGAATCCTGTACAACACTTGCTGTAGCTGTAGGCTTCTTCATGTTCTTGTCCTCTTTGAGTGAAGCGTTTACTGCATCGCTCAATTTCCATTCATTTACTTTCTTTCGGATTTCCAGCACAGCCTTCTTCATCAACATATTACGTATTTGTGCCTGAGAGAATTCCCTTGAACGATCTGCTACCCTCCGTGCTCCTACAAAAACCTTCTGAACATTTGCCTGGCTGCCACTTTTTGCAGCCGTTTGACTAATCCTTCCTTTTTTCTCACTATTCGACGTTTGTCCTTCCATGCGTCTCTTTTTCATTGGCCCACCTTGTATTTCAGAAGTATAACTGGCATTGCTATTGCTTGAAGTATTTACATCTGCTCCTGCACATCCTGTCTTAAAACTTTCTGCAGTGGCTTGAGTAGCAGCAGAAGGTGTCATTGACACACCATTACCAGTACCCCCTTCAGAGTTAAAGGGGTTCTGATGAATATTTGGCCATCTTCTTGAGGCAAGCCCCCCAGAATGAAAAGCTTTCTCCATTTGTGGAGTTGTAAAGTATCTCGTTCCAGATGCACTTGATTGGCCAAAGGGTACAAAAGATGTTTGTTCAGGAGCACTTGCCACGGGTGATGCCCAATAGGACTTCTGGCATTTGCGGCAGATAAGAATTCTGTTCAGGTACAGTCTTGGACATTCGTAACGGGTGCCACACCACGTGCATTCAGTACATGAATTAATGTGCCCTGGTGGAAGAGGCGGCATGGAGGTTGGCGGGATGTTAGGGATGCTAGCCGGAGGTCTTGCAAACGGTGTGTTCATAGGGGCACGGAAGACATTCTGGCCACTTGCCATTGAAGGATGCCCAGGTCTTGCACCGGGTATGCCCATTGGGTTATGGAAGAAATTCTGACCAGTAGCCATTGAAGGAGGCACGGGTCTTGCACTGGATGTGCCCATTGGGTTATGGAAGACATTCTGACCAGTTTCCATTGAAGGGTTCCCGTTTAAAACATTCCTTGGACCACGTCTCTGGTCATAGCTAGCTCTCTTAGCCTTGTCAGATAATATACTCCAGGCTTCAGTAACAATCGCAAATGCTCCATTCGCCCCCGTTGATTTGTTTTTGTCAGGGTGCAGTGCCAGAACCAACTTTCTATAACGCCTCCTCAGTGCTTCATCGCCCACCGAAGAATCTACACCAAAGACTGCATACCAATCAACTTCGCCATTGATCTTTCTCTGAGACCTCACATGGATATTGATCACTTCGAGTAGTTTGGAGAGACCATCAAGGCCTGCAAACATAGTTTGAGCCCTCAAAGCCAATTCTTGAGCTCCAACAAAGTCCTTTTCTGTCAACTTCCTTTCTGCCATTTCTTTTGCCCTAAGGGCATCAGTTTTATTACAACACTCCATTCCTCAAGGACCCACAGTATCAACACTTCGATGAAAAGGCTTTTAACGAATCTGTATCTGAAAGCTCTTATGTCCCGTACAAGAATCTGAGGCAGAACTCGTCTTCAACTCTTTAAGTCCTAGCAATTAGAGACATACATGTTATGTCAGACATTATTATGCAAGGATATATCTAGAGAACAGAACGAGAATGGTGCTAACCAATTGTTACCACACAATAACTATTAGCCAAACAAGGCAAGAAAGCAAGCAAGGAACAAATACAGAAGTCGATGTTTAATGAATTGAGAAAAATGCTTTATCCAGAAACTGGGTAAACACTTTCCTGTAAAAAAGCCAAACTGGGATAGGAAAAATATGAATGATTTCTATATGAACCACAGTGATCAAACTCTTATACAAATTAATGCATCTTTTAGTTCATGAATGATGAATCTCTTTCTCTTAATTACATACCCACACTTGTATAGATCAATCAAATCTTTTTTCCACGGCAAGAACAGTAAGAACTCAACAAACAAAATCAACAAATTTGAAAAGGAAAATAAATCGTCACATAGGCACAAAACGATTCCAACCAGATCAAAGCAACACAAGAACACATAATTCGATCAAAACAGCACCGTTCCATTCCAGATCATGGTTCTTTACAAATTCAAAAGTAAATTTGTCATGAATGGCAACAAGACAACCTAGATCCTTCATCCACAACCATTTCATCGGTCATATCAACTCAAAATCATAGCAAAACCCTCAATTCTTTATACCTATAGTTGATTTTTTCCCCACATAAGCTTCAAAGTAAATTAAATTGAAAAAGATCACCTATCCAAATTTGCAAAGAAGAAAGCAGGGAAAAAAATCATCACATAGGCACAACACGATTCCAACCAGATCAAGAGCACAACAAAGCAACACAAGAACACATAACTCGATCAAAACAGCACCGTTCCATTCCAGATCATGGTTCGTTACAAATTCAAAAGAAAATTTGACATGAATGGCAACAAAACAACCTAGATCCTTCATCCACAACCATTTCGTCGGTCATATCAACTCAAAATCATAGCAAAACCCTCAATTCTTTATACCTATAGTTGATTTTTCCCCCACATAAGCTTCAAAGTAAATTAAATTGAAAAAGATCACCCATCCAAATTTGCAAAGAAGAAAACAGGGGAAAAAATCATCACATCGGCACAACACGATTCCAACCAGATCAAGAGCACAACAAAGCAACACAAGAACACATAACTCGATCAAAACAGCACCGTTCCATTCTAGATCATGGTTCTTTACAAATTCAAAAGTAAATTTGACATGAATGGCAACAAGACAACCTAGATCCTTCATCCACAACCATTTCGTCGGTCATATCAACTCAAAATCATAGCAAAACACTCAATTCTTTATACCTATAGTTGATTTTTACCCCACATAAGCTTCAAAGTAAATTAAATTGAAAAAGATCACCCATCCAAATTTGCAAAGAAGAAAACAGGGGAAAAAATCATCACATAGGCACAACACGATTCCAACCAGATCAAGAGCACAACAAAGCAACACAAGAACACATAACTCGATCAAAACAGCACCGTTCCATTCCAGATCATGGTTCTTTACAAATTCAAAAGTAAATTTGACATGAATGGCAACAAGACAACCTAGATCGTTCATCCACAACCATTTCGCCTGTCAAATCAACTCAAAATCATAGCAAAACACTCAATTCTTTTATACCTATAGTTGATTTTTTCCCCACATAAGCTTCAAAGTAAATTAAATTGAAAAAGATCACCCATAGGCACAACACGATTCCAACCAGATCAAGAGCACAACAAAGCAACACAAGAACACATAACTCGATCAAAACAACACCGTTCCATTACAGATCATGGTTCTTTACAAATTCAAAAGTAAATTTGACATGAATGGCAACAAGACAACCTAGATCGTTCGTCCACAACCATTTCGCCTGTCAAATCAACTCAAAATCATAGCAAAACACTCAATTCTTTTATACCTATAGTTGATTTTTTCCCCACATAAGTTTCAAAGTAAATTAAATTGAAAAAGATCACCCATCCAAATTTGCAAAGAAGAAAACAGGGGAAAAGCCTGGAATAAAACTTTAGCTTCACACACACGCACAAAGCTAAACAGAACAGAACTCAAATTCAACAGATACACACCTACACAATGCATGATCATTAAAAAAACGTAAATTCAACAAGCATATACAGAATTCCAGTAAAGCTTACCTTAAACCCTGTGAAAACTTCGAATTTCAGCACTCAAAAATCTGCAATCACAAAACACAAGCCCACATTTTGTTTACACAGAGCTATATATACATACAAAGCAAAAGGTAACGGAAAAAGAAGCACAGCATTTGATCAACAAAAAAAGCCCAAAAAAAAAAAAACAAAAACCTTTATATCAATCGTTCCCAGCAATGCTGAATCGCTTAGAGTGAGCAGTCACTTTTAAAACAGGGACTGACAATTTGAGAATTTGTTTGAAACCCTTGAAGAAGAATTTGGAAACATTTATATTGGAAAATAGTATATATATATATATATACATGTATATATGAAATATATAGGAATGATGTTTCAATTCATGGTAACCAGCATTTAGGTGGTTTTTTGGGGGGGCTGTAGACAGCCTTTTATTTTATCATCATGGGGCTAATCAACTATGGTTTAATTATAATCATGGTTAAATTTGGCAGTAAAATTTAGTTCAGATTAATATTAATATATTTTTTTATTTGCATTGAATGAAATTTTCCTTTTTTGCATTGTTTTAAATATACATTTTCATCTGTGGATTTTGTCATAATGACTGGTTTTTATGATAATTAATTGTTTAACAAAGTAATTACGTGCAAATCTGGAAGATAAATTCTGTATTTAGTAATGAGATTACAATTATGGAAATTTTTTATATTTTATAATATTTATTTTGAATTTTCACATATTTTGTGTCATATAAAAGGAAAAAAATAAACTGTGGGCCAGGCTTGGATGGCTTTAAACCTTTTACCAATAATAATCACATTTAGATAAAACAGTAAAACATCAGAGTAATCATTTTCATTATCAAATTTATTTTTTTTTGACCACATTAACCTGCTCTAAATTTCAACTGTTATCTGCCTTTCTGGTTTTTCTGCATTAAGTCCAGATTGAAATGTCAAATGCTTTACTGAGAATTTTCATTTCGGGGCGGGGTTTTTTCCGTGCACAATTAGTACACGTGGCACGACTATTACACGTGGCACGCCCACACGTGGCACGGCCATTAACTCAGTGGTCAAAATATTGGCAGAGGTTCAAGATATCAGATGACCATTCTGCAATCTGCACTGTGATTTTGTTTATGTAAAATTTCTCAATAATGGAGGTCTTAAAATGAACAAATACACTCAGTATAAAATCATTAATCACGGGTTCTTACATGAGAGTTTAACATTGAATGTACATTGTGATTTTGCAAAGCCTGTAAATCTAAATACATTTGTAGGTCCTAAAAAACTGTCCATCTTTCTTCAATGACAACTTCATTGATCCAACAAATGAAGTTGGATACCAAAAGAATCTCGATGTTGTATAATCCACGTCACACCTGACAGCAAGTTCAGATAAGAATCGACGAGCAATGTGAGTCGCATGACCAAGAAGGTTCTAGGAAACTTTTGTGTACCGCAAATTAGGCTCCTTAACCCAAGTACAGCTCACCATTTTGTTCCTATACCAAGGTGCAAAGCTGCAAACAAAATCCTCAGTCAAAAAATAGAGAAGACAAAAAACAGAAATGTAATATATGCACCCACATACAAATAAACAAAGAGATACCAAGATATGCAATTGAGTCTATGGCTAGACGTGACTATTAGAGATAAGAAACACATCAGGAAAACCAAATGCAGCATCAAAGGCTAGATTTACTAAAATATCAAACATCACCGGAGCATATTATTTGTGGTTATCACCATTACCTTTATTGTTGTTTTAATAACCATGACCTATAAATGCTATTCAGTATTGTAAAAAAAATTCCAATTTATTCATATAGGGTGTTCTTTTTGAATTTTACATTCTATCTTTAGAAGCTTCTGTATTTTACTTTCTTGGTGCCTTTTTTTGGGTGCAAATCCATTGTTTTCAGGCAATTACATCACTAGGCAATACAATGAACAGACCATTAAATTAGCTTATCTATTAATAGCATGCAATCCACCAAGGTTCTGATGAATTGGCAAAGGTTTTCAATTTCCTCATAAGATAAAGACACATCTTCTTGGGTGGAGCTAATGAATTAGGCAGTGTTTGAGTCTATAGCTGTTGCTAAGAATCAAGGGGCAGAGTAGATTTAGATGGGTTGAAATATTTGAAAAATCAGGATACATGTCATGCAAACCGTAACAATGGTTTTGGATGCAAATATATTTAATCCATGAATCTAAAACTGACTATAGTAAATTGACAGACTTTCCCTAAAAAGGGTGCAATATGATGATGTAGAATATGACTTTCCTTAAACATGGAATTCTGTAGAGTATTAAGTATAACTTTAGTAGTTTATGAAAAGGAGTAGTAAAGAAAGCAAGTAGTGAGCACTGATCAAACAGTGCCATCCAAGAAAAACCGCCACCATTGGTATTGTTGCTCTGTTTGCAATTTGTACAGAGTATGTAATAGGAAAAAGGTTGGAATTTTCCCTTCTCTACTCATCATCCTAGCTCTAAAGAAACTTAATACGTAGTATCTTACTAAATTCACACATAAAAGCATCTTAAACAAACTATTAATCAACAGTTTCCTTATCCACATTTGCAATGTGGAGCGAATTATTAGTAATTTTATTATTACTATAGTATCCAAGTAATCCAACTTTACTCAAGCATTGTTTTTGTGGTTATTGGCATTACCTTAATTGTTGTTTTAATGACCATGACCTATAAATGCTACTCCGTATTGTAAAAAAGATTCCGATTATTCATATAGAAAGTTCTTCTTTAATTTTATCTTTTATTTCTAAAGTTTTTTTTGTACTTTACTTTCTTGCTTTCCTTTTTGTCCAAATGTCTTCAGGCATTCTATTATACCAAAATTCTGTTGAGTCCTCCATGTAACATGTTTCTCTAGATTACAGTGCTCTCACATGTTTTACGTGGATCTACCTGCTGGTCATACCCTGACTGTCACACCTTCAACGCTACTGTAATGACTGTTCCATGAGCATTATTTTATAATCTGTTATTTTCTCTTATAACGTGACAAAAGGAATAGCTGTCTATAAAAAGTATATTGCAGAAACCTATGAGCATGCAATGACAGCTGCTAAACAACTATGAATAACGCTGAAAAGAAGGAAAAACTATGCAAAAGAAACTGACAATTTTAGCAAGAAACGGAGAGCCTGATGGTGCCATGTTATTACAAAACTTCACACATGATATAGAGGTCCTAACTAATCATGATATGTTGGGACCTTTCACGAAAAGGAGGGGATGAAAAGTAACCATGATATTCCAAGACCTTGAGTTACTCTGTAAAACTTAATATGATGGATCTGACAAAAATTAAATGAAATCTATATATAACCCTTTCTAATGCTAAAGCACATGGAATGATATGTTCCAAGCGTATATAGCACGAATATTAGCTGCTAAACAACTATGAATAATGCTAAAAAGAAGGAAAAACTATGCAAAAGAAACTGACAAGTTTAGCAAGAAACGGAGATCCTGATGGTGCCATGTTATTACAAAACTTTATACATGATATGTTGGGACCTTTCCACCTATTATAGAGCATGAATATTATGGATTTCCACCTTCTTCTAGGCAATACAATAGATGCACCACTAAATTAGCCTATCTATTAAAATAGCATCCAATCCACCAAGATTCTGATGAATTGGCAAAGGTTTTCAATTTCCTTATAAGTTAAAAGACTCATCTCCTTGGGTGGTGCTAATGAGTAATGAATTTGGCAATGTTTGAGTCCATATCTGTTGCTAAGAACCAAGAGAAAGGGTAATGGATCAAAATAATTGAGAACCCGGAATACATGTCATGCAAATTGTCTCAATGGTTTTGGTACTACTTGTCTCAATGCTACATTACCCCTCATATATTTCCCCTACAAACTTCTCTTCCTGATGTGGCATCATATGATTGAAAACCGGGAATACGTGTCATGCAAATTGTCACAATGGTTTTGGTACTACGTGTCTCACTATAGTAAATTGACAGACTTCCCCTAAAATGATGCAATACCACAATCTATGTGTGAGGATTATCTGTCCATGATGCAATACCGCATTAGGGTTTTATGAATGCAATTCAAAAGAAGTGCCTATTAGTATTGCTTCGCTGGACAACCATTATTTCAAAAACGGTTTTAGCATCATCTTACATGTGAAAGGAAGGTTTCTAGTAGTGATTTCAACTCTCCATCATAATCCGTGAAATCAGAAACAAAACGGATGTCCGTTACACGGGACCAGTCAACACACGATATCATATCAATAATTAAGAATCACAACCAACAACGCCTATCAGTAAATTCATCTAATCTGCTTAAATTCACACCTCGAATTACTTCTCAGATCATACAAATCCATCCACCACAGATACACATTTATTACTCATCTAATGCATACTGTAGCTAATCAGAACAAATTCACAATTTTATTAATTAATGAAAAGGAACAGTAAAGAAAGCGATTAGTGACGAGTACCACTGACCAAACAGTGAGGCGGAGCAGGGAGATGGACGGCGACGATTGACCCGACGAAGCCATAGCCACGCAAATTCCGGAGCGCCGGAACGTCGAGCGCACCCCAAATGGATAAGCTTCGCAAAAGGTCGTTCATGGAGGAACCCAATTTCGCATTTGCGCCATCCAAGAAAAACCGCCAAATCGATTTTGGAGATATTGCACATTTTGATCCTTTAATTTTTCTATATTTCCACATCCAGTCCTTCAATTCTTAAATAATAAATGTGATTTTTTTATTTTTAAAAAAATTGTCAATCCATTACCTTAACTTATTATTATTATTATTATTATTATTATTATTATTATTACCAAAAATTATGCTAAGTGATGACCAGCTTGATAGCATCAACTCGAAAGAAATCCTTTCATAATTTTTTTATTTTTTTGTTTGATCGAGATTAACTTGACAATTAACATATTTATTGCAATATCTCAAAACGTGTAAAATCTTCTTGATAAGATAATGTTATATTAATTGGTGTCTCCCCAAGAATGATTAATTATTATATTAACTGCAAAAAACAAATTGACACTTTTAACAAAAATTAAAAGATTACATCCACTCACTTGAAAATTAGGTGATCAAATTTTAAAATAAACATAATTGAGATATTAAATATCTCTACATTTTTGGAAAAAAAAATCTTTTTTTATTAAAGAATATTAATACATGAATATTTTATGAAACTTGTACATAAAATTAAATTGTACTATTTGTCGACAATTTTCTTAACTATTAACCTTCGTAATGGGAGTGTATTATTAGATATTTCATGAAGTGTTACTGTCTTGCTCGATATATAATTATATATAATAATAATAATACTTTTTTGACATTTAACGAACTAAGTTATTCAATTATTTTAAAAAATAATTAAAGTTCTTTCAGTAACCAGTAATAGCGATAAAAGATACATATATTTTTAAATTTCTAAGTGTATAGTATAAAAACTTGGCCCATTCTAAACTGTACAGTATAAAAACTTGGCCAAATATCATTTTGAGCAAAAAGATTTAGTTTTCAAAGACTCTGGTGATCAAGGGAACATGGAAAGCACAGGATAATGCAATAGAGGAAAAAACACAAGGCACACCCAACAAAATAAAAAGTTCATAAAAATGATTGTGAAAATATAAACTTTTCAAGAGGCTTTCAAAAGCAAGGTTTAATAAGCTTTTTTATTTAAAGCCTTACTACCGGAAACAAGTTTCAAACATGATTTTTTTTTTATTTGCGTCTTTAATTTAATTTTCTCCAATATTTCAAAACTAAATTAATTAGAACTCCAAGTACTCTCAACCGAAAAGAAAAATAGACATAATGAAGACGCATACTTTAATGTACAAGAGAATTGAGAATGTTCAACCAATTTGCTATATATGTTACTAGTATGCATATTTACATTCTAAACTCAATAAATCACATAACATATCGGGGAGATCCACTCATCCACATACATTTATATGTAACAATGTCACATTATATTTTCATTTTGCTATTGTCATGAGAATTGTATTTCGAAATAGTGGTCATGAAGAGAGAATGAATAATGTGTAAATTAATTGTTTGACAATTAATCCAATTGTTAAAAGAATTTCAAACAAAACTAACACTTCTATATTAGGTTATCTTTATCCCAAAAATATTTCTTCATTTTTAAAAATACTTCTTCATTTTTAAAAGTGGTTCTACAACATCATCAATTTTACAATTCCTTCACTATTTTCTTTACATACAATTCCAATTCACGTTAAAAAACAAGGTTGCAAAAATCGCTAAGCGTTTCTCGGACGCCTAGGCGTCCTTATTCTTATTATTATTATTATTATTATTATTTTAATTTTTTAATTTAAAAGATTTTTAAAAATATATTATTTAAAACTTTGTAATTATAAACTATTTGATACTTTAATAGTTAGTACTAAAATATTAAATATTAACCTAAAAAGATCTAGAATTGTAAATTGTATAAAGATTTAAAGAATCAAAAAACAACACAAAATCACAACTCACAAAGTATTAATATTAGAGTACCTGATTTCAAATAATTTTGTATTACATTTGTTGGTTTGTGACCGATTTAAACAATTTAGAGTTATTTTACTAAAAACGGCGTTGATTTGAGCGAAATAACTCATTTAAAAAAACACGAAAAAATAACTAACTGACAGCCTAAACACCCGCCTAGTCCGCCTAGAACGGCAATTCCGTCAAATTTCTAGGTAGCCGAACACTGACTAGCGCCTATGCTCAATTTTTGCAACACTGTTAAAAAATGAGTCTCGATTTCACATCTTTACAACTTCAACCCACTTTTATTACAAACTAATAAAAAATAATTAATTAAAAGAAATTAAACAAGTACAAAAGTTGCAATTTTGATTTTAAAAAGAATTAATTTTTTTTTCATGTCACCCGAAACGCTACCCCTTCCCGGGGAAAAAACAACGTATTTGTTGTATCGGTACGTTCATACATATTATTAGGGTTTGAACTCACAACTATGCCGCTTAATCACAAGATCTTTAGCTCATATAAAGGTTTAATATTAATTATTAATGATTATATTGTGTGAGACTTTTAAGTATGATTTTGAGAGCATCTATGTTCAACATTTTACAAATGTAGTGGCTCAGATCGTTCTCTTGCAAGAGCTATCGGGTTTTCAAATTGAATAAGGAGAGTGGTATATCGCTTCTCCCGGCCTCTTTCATTCTTTATGTTTTGAGCACGCTTTTTACTCTTCTAAAAAATATTAGAATTATTTGATTCCTAATACTAACTTGGTAGTTTAGATAAAACATACAATCTTATTATATGGGCCAAAATAATATGTACACTTAAACTTTATGTGTAGGAAAAATAGCCAAAGATCTTGTGTTCAAACGGCATAACTGTGACTCTCCTAAATGTGAAATCTCAGGTTCAAAGGAACAGCTGTTCCCCACCCTCTGCATCTGAAAAGGCGTTGCTCAACTAACATGCTCTCGAGACAACCTTCTCCTAGGAGCATGTAACTTCTCTCATCTTGATCTCCAATCATAATCTCCCCTTTATCCCTCTCTTTCTCCTCTCATTGGAGATCGATACCCTTAGTATAATTAAATAAAAAGAACTAGGTTCAGTTCCGTCTTCATTGGTTGAAAATTGAAATTCATTATTTATATATATATATATATATATATATATAATTAATTAATTAAAAAAAGATTTGATTTGTGGAATTCATCGCTCGTTCTAAAAACTGACTAAAAATGTGCATATTCTATCATGTTTGGTACCATGCATGCATGCTTTGATTCATGAGAGATAAAATGAAACAATAATTTATTATGCTTCTAAGATTTCTCAACCACACACATATTTGCTTCATTCCAACAAATAAAAACAAAAGAAGAAACATATTCATTTATTAGATGTTAAAAGGAAAAAAAAATATTAAAAAAGCTTTCACTTTTAGTAATAATATAGAAATACCTAAATTTGATAAAGATCACTGGATGAGAGAATTGAAGACCTTATTAGGTATGGATTAGAAGGCATGGTGTTAAAAGGAAAAAACAAAAAAAAAAAGCTTTCACTTTTAGTAATATAGAAATACCTAAATTTGATAAAGATCACTGGATGAGAGAATTGAAAACCTTATTAGGTATGGATTAGAAGGCATGGTGTTAAAAGGAAAAAACAAAAAAAAAACTTTCACTTTTAGTAATATATAAATACCTAAATTTGATAAAGATCATTGAGAGAATTAAAGACCTTATTCGGTATGAATTAGGAGGCATGGTGTTAAAAGGAAAAAAAAATAATAAAAAAATTCACTTTTAGTAATATAGAAATATCTAAATTTGATAAAGATCACTAAGAGAATTGAAGATCGATGACCTCATTAGGTATGGATTAGGAGGTGTTCCAGTCAGGTAGTAATTGGTAGATTTGCAGAAATGTAGTAACAATATTATTTTCCTTTAATAATACAATAAATATTACACCGTAATTGTTAATTTCAAATAAATAACGAAGTAATATATAATATTATACTAATATGGCGCAGCGCTGTAACCAAACAGTCGGTATGTCCGAGTGGTTAAGGAGACAGACTTGAAATCTGTTGGGCTCTGCCCGCGCAGGTTCAAGTCCTGCTGCCGACGTTTTTGTTTTTCCAGTCGGTGTCTCCTACATACTATAGTAAGTACAAGCCAGAAGTGTAAAAGAATTGATGACAGAATAATTGTTTTTTAATTTTTTTTTTTTTGTTCCAGCCGGGACCAAGAATTTTCTAAAACCAAAGTTTCTCAGGACAGGAAACAACTTGCCAAGCAAGTTTAGTTAATAAAGCAAGATTAAAGTCTTGCGCTCTTCTTAATCCAAGGCCTCCCAATTCCTGAGGTTTACAAATTTAAGCCCAGTTATGGTATGAATTTTCTTGGAGTTATCGTCGTGTCCCCAAAGAAAGTTTCTGCATATTCTATCAATATCCTCACAAACGCTAACAGGAAGCGCAATGGCTTGCATGGTATAAATAGGGACGGTGGAAAGGGATGATTGAACCAGAATCCTTCTTCCCGCCATACTAAGGGAATTAGCATTCCAAGAAGATAATTTTCTTCTCATTTTTTTCAATCGCTTTCAATCACTAAGGCAAACATCTCCTTTGACACACGTTTTTGCAGAAGGGGGATTCCAAGATAAGAGTCCAGTCTAGTTGTAAGGGGGATACTAGCTTCCTCCCCAATACGTTGCTTGATACATGCACAAGTATTAGGAGAAGAAAAGATTTGGAACTTAGAAAGATTAACCTTTAAGGGATTCCCCAGGCTTCGTGCCATGCGATGGTCGGTACGTCACGGACTCTTAGTGTGGGCCGAATCCAATCGATCACCACCTACCTCTTTGGCATGCCTTCCCCCGACCTCTAATGCCCACGGGGCTTCGCTAGAGGATGGATTTGGGAATGGTTTCGCGACCTTGCTGAATCGACCTGTCTAGGTTGGACCGACCATCGAGTGCCTTGTAGCATGACACAGTGCGCTCAGAAACATCGTGACACGCGGCTAGGGCCCAGCCGGGACTCGTGCATGATGTCCGCCTGCTCAGCATGCCGCCGACCCGGAATCTATCCCCTAGCTATTAGCTTGGATACCTTTGATCCAGTGTCACGTATATCGGGTTGTATTCATTAAACCAACAAGCAGACTAGACTTAGAATCCGAACCCGGAATCAACCTGGGACTGTATCGTAGACAATACGATCTGTATATACTTCATCAGAATCCATCATGACTTTAGCTTGGCACTCAGTAGTGACTCCAAAGAGCATAAGGTCATCTGCAACCAAAAAAAAAAAGGTGAGAAATACCAATACCCCCTCTAGTAATCATGATGGGTTTCCAATTCCCAATCCCAACCTCGTGTTGAAAGTCTTCAGCCAGCCTCTCCATCACAAGGTTAAAAAGATAAGGCGCCAAAGGGTCACTTGACGCAGCCCTCTCCCAGGGGTAAAGGAGGGAAGGGAGCTCCCATTCCACAGAATGGAAATCTTGCTTTCTCTCAATGAGAAAAGAATGAGGTCAATGAACCGTCTCGAGAACTCAAACCTCGTTAGAGTATCTTCCAGAAAACTTCAATAGACACTATCATAGGCTTTTTGCAATCAACTTTAATAGCCATAGGCCCTTTACATCCATGTTTCTTTCTTATGCAGTGGACGATTTCTTAGGTGAGAATAATGTTGTCAAGTGTAGATCTCCCCGATAAGAAAGTATTCTGATGGGAGCCTATAATTTTAGTCATAAGGGGCCTCATGTGATTAACCAAGACCTTAGAAATCACCTTAAAGGCCACGTTGAGAAGGGAAATCGGCAGCGGTCTCCGGAACTTTCTTCTTAGGGATGAGAGTGATAAACAAGCATAAGAGATTTTCAAGCACCCTACTAGTTATAAGCGCTCGATTCACCATCTCTGAAAGGACTGGCCCCACTAACCCCAAGAGAAGTGCTGATAAATCCTTTGTTAATAGTAAAGGTCAAGGGTTCAAATCCTTTGGCGTTAACATAATTTTACAATTTTTTTACTCATTCCCCCCAACTTCAACATAGTCATGTTTTTAATAGTTTTTTTAATATTTAATACACACACATATATACATCATTTTTTTATATTAATAGTGAGATATCATATTTTGTTATATTTTGTTATGAATATTTTTATAAAGTTTCAATGTGTTATTTTTCGCTCATATCCAACAATATTTTTTAGGTAATTTATTTTCTTTTTTTAAATTATCTTTTTTGTTTTAGTGTTTCGCTTTTACTGAAAAAAAAATTTCTGAATCCATCGCTACTGCTTCGCCCCCTCAACCGAATTTCTGACTCCGTCCTTGACCCTTGTCATTGTATATTGATGACAGAATATACAATGCTATTTGTACACACGGACACACACATCATATATATAGAGACAATATAATTTTTTAAAAAAATGATTAGAAGAAACGAGAATTGCAAACTCCTTTCCAAACTCGGAGCCATATATACAAATTTATATACAACAGCTGATCATTCCAGTACGAATTGGTTCATCAAAGTACCATGCGGCCAAGCACCTGAGAGCCGCTACCGGCTAAAGTCCACCGGTCTGCCAAGAAAATTATCAGTTATTGTTTCTTCTCAAGAATGCTAATATGCCTAGAGCAGCCATTAGTGCAGCACCAGTGGCCACAGCGCTGTAGGCTGCAGCCCATGCATCTGTCTGAGCATATTCTATGGTACTTGAGCCAGAACCGCGCCTAAGATGTGGCGTTCTTGAATAATCTAGGTGCAACCTTAGTCCCTGTAAATGATAATTGCGAAAAAAACGTGGTAAAGGCATTTGTTATGCTATGGTGCAGAAGAAATGGCACTGAAATAATGGTTACCTTCCAACCGGCAGACCTTGCGTGCTCAACAGCCGTGATGAGATCACTGTCTGATGCAAGTACAACCTGGTCGTGGTCTTCATCTTCGTACTGCAGTGGAAAGGATATTCATCAGCATTTTAGATGAAGCAACAGAATGCCTCTAGTGTTTCGAGTTTGTTTTGGGTGGGGGGAGGGGCATTTTCATGAAGAGGAACAGAAGTTTGTGGTCTGTTTACCAGAATCTGAGGAAGATTGTTCCAGTTAATGTCACCTCCCAATCTTTGAAGGATTGCGGTAATGAGATCAGTCATGTTTCTAGTATCTGAACTCCAGAAACAGTAAAAAATCAGCACTGTGGTGCATCAGGAATAACATAAAGAACATATAATTCACAAACTGGGAAGTGAAAGGAAGTTCTGGGAACTTCTTGGAAAAATAATTAGAGAGCTGGTACCTGTGAATCTGTGATATACAAAGTAATAGCTATTGCTAATTAAGCATATTACCGATTCTTTGGCTAATTGTTGGTAACTGGTGATTGTTTTATATTTTAACACCATGCTTCAAAAAATGACCACATGAATCAATTAGACATACCACTAGTGAACCTATGCATCCTTCCCTTTCTGTCTTCAATCTTAAAAGAAAAAGTATTTTGCAGGGTTGACGAAGGAAATGGAAGTGATATTCCTGTCTCTTGCCCTTCGGAGGCCAATTTCAATGAAGCTTCGCTGGTTTATCATAGCAATAAATGTTAGAGAAAGTCAAGAAATGAATATGAATGAAGATAACCAATCACAGAAACAGGCTACAACCTATGCATCTCTTCATCATCGTGATGACTTATTGCCATAGCAGAATCCCAAAACTTTTGCATCATAGTGTTTGCAGTTTCTTCATTAACTCCAGCAGTATTTCCTACCTGCTATTCAAGTGAGGAACTGGATTGTAACAAGATTCTAGAATGCTTCTAAATCTTGGATTTACAACTACCCTATCAATAGAAAAGGTCAGACTTTGTGCAAAGTAGAAGAGAGATGGATGAAACATTTATTTTCATAAAGGAGTTTTGAAGGCATATACAAATATACAATGGCTTAATGATTAAACGGGTAGGTTCTTTTGTGAAATGTGATATAGTAGCATCATGGGTTTAAACTCTAAAGAGTGATCGATTTTATGAGTTCAGTTTAAACCAAACAAAAATTGTTTTCTGTTGGGCCTTTAAAATGTAAGGAGAATAAAGAGACCCATAAGGAGTTTTAAAGAAAACCCATATGCCAATTGCCAAGAGAAATGTTACCCCTATCTGAGTCATATTTCAATTGGCTAGTTCTGTTATTTCAGTCTCAAAGAAGAAATCAAATGATAAGGCCTGTTCAGTAAGAAAACATGTCTTCCAGTCTTCATTTCCAGTATTCTACAAATTTTCTTCTTCTATTTAAAGAACAAATATGTTCATATTTAACTATTGTATAGTTTATAAAATGTAAAGTTATTTGAAATTCACTCGATTCTTATATAAACGTACATATATATGAAGTCGAGGTGGTGGGCGGAAAGTAAGTGGTGATATTAATGGCAATAATGGTGGTGGGCAGGTAGGTATGTAAATAATGATAGATAGAAGTAAAGGATAATAGCAATAGTAATATCAGTGGTAAGAACATGTACGAAGTTGGGAGTGGCGTAATAGGTTGGGGTGGGGTAGTAGGTGGGGGCGAAGTGGGTGCGGTGATGTTAGATAGATGATTATAATGGTAGCCATAAATGAAAACTTATATATGTTTTTTTTTTTTTTTCTATAGAAGTGGAGAATACGTAAATGAGTAGAAGTCACTATTTGATAGCTGATACTAATGTTAGGGTGACTTGCATAAATGGGACAGACTAAATGGATTACATGAAAATGTTCTGTAAGTCCTTTCCTGTGAATATTCCATACTATTACAAAGGCATGGGCTTCCCATCCTTCTCTTCACATGAATAGCTAGATTATTCTCACAATCCAAATTAGCAACAGGAATAAGAGATCTATTATAGTTCTACCAAGGGTGGTTTAACATTATCAGTTTGAAGGCTGTATCATCCCAGGACATTGGATCAACACAGTTCCCCAATCTAAAGGCAATAGCAAAAAAATGCATGCCATGACAATGCACCCCATGCAAGCTTTTAGAAACCATTTGGCAACAAAATGGCGCAAGCCTATTCTTAAACCCATACATTAGAATATACTTATGTATACAAATGAGTGCCTTACTGTGGAAATAGCAGCACGAGTGATATGTAGTACATCAACAACAGCAACGACCACTCCATCTGCAGTAGATCACGAATGTATAAGTAAGAAATGCTACACATAATCTGTTAACCTTATTGTGTTTCTTCAAAAGGGTAATTTACCTTTATCAGAAATAGGCAGGTGTAAGAATTTTCCGTCATGCATCCTATGTAAAGCATCCAAAATAGGTGTTTCAACACTTGCACATTCTGGATTAGGGGTCATGGCCTAGAGTTTAGATTTAAAAAAGTCAAGAAAAACAGTGAGATCTAACCTGTGGTTTTAAAGTTCATACATACCAGCAAATACTTAATGCATTGCAACAAAAATAGTCCCACAGAGCCATCTCAGGCCATAAGCATTTATCAGTGAGTACTGCAGGTTGCAGGATATGGGTAAGGTTCCTGGAAATGTAAGCTCAAGTTCTATACAGTTTTTTATTTCTCACCCAGTATTTTTTTTATTGGTATATTGGAAGATATCGATTTCTAAACCAAACACTTTGAACTCAGGTACCTCAAATCAAATCAAAGACACATGGAACTTTGGGGTTTTTGTTGATCAAGCCTGTTCAAGTGAGGGTAAACAAAGAAGTAAAAGGGCATCTATTAAGAATATGGGGTTAATGAAGGCTTGTTACAGGTCCTAACATACAGTAGTTTTCAGTTTTTTTTTTTCCCCCAAGACCCAGGCATGGGCACCGATTAGAGTCTGATCTAGATAACGAGATTCTGTAATTTGTAAAAATTGTAAAGGCTAGTTACAAAACAAATTGGAGCTTACCTATAAGTGTTCTTTTGTGATTGGGTTCCACATTCAGCTACTTAAGTGTCTTATTTTTATTCTCTTGTTCTCCATTTACTTTAAATTCATTGTCCATCATCATTCTAAAAAGGAACTGTCTGAAGGAAAGACGAAAGAATTTTATAGTAGAAACATGCACCCATAATAAGAAGAAAGTGGTGAAATTAACACTAATAAGTGATTTTTAGTTATACTACGGCGTATGTTAATAAAAGGGAGTGACTTGATCATTAGGTGATGGTTCAAGCCATTAAATTGCTGGACATGAGTGGATGAAGAAAATTGAAGTACAAGACACCAAAGCACTAAAGCCATTGCAATGAGCGCAAGGGCAGAGGGTAAACTGAAATAAGGCAGACTTTATTAGCTGCTTTTGAAAGATGCAAGGAAAAACGTTATCTGCCACTATTAGGAAGTCTAAGAGAATAGACTTGTGAATAGAATAGGAAAAAAATTGAATAGGGGACAAAGTTCACAAAGCAAAAAGTTATACAAATATTTATTTGAAACTAAGAACAAAATATATATCTTCTGAAGCAGCGAAAGAGAAATACCTTATCCACTAGAGTTGACTCAGGGGAAAGATCTTGTGCTATGACTCGCATCAAGATGTCTTTTGAACTGAAAAGAGTATGAAAGCCATCTTATCACTATAGGTTCTGTATCATGCAACTGTTAAAACGATTATGATGTTAAAGAACTCACGTAATAATTCCACATGGTTTGTTCTCAACTGTTACAATTGCAGAGTTTGTGCGAGAATCAAGCATTCTCTTTGATGCAAATAGAACAGTATCACTTGGTTGAACTGTGACAATCCTGGCAACACCACAACAATAACTTATGTAAAATTCATCTTTCAAATAACTGTCTGTGAATAGTGCGTCAAAACAAGATGGAAATAATAATGTACTAATTAAATGTAAAGATATTACCTACTTTGAATTCTCAGGAATAATTGTAGACAACGAGGGTCTGAACATCCGCTCTCTAATTGTTTCAATAAATGTATTGGAGCCTGCATTAGGGGAGCACAAAAAACATGTTTCACTTTAAATAATCAATAAGAGCAATATAAGTCAACCATAAGACTGGAAAATAATGAGCTAAGAGATTCTCTCCTAAGAGCAATTATATATATCATCAGAAATAATAATTGCAAGTTTCCATAACTAACCATAAAGAGACGCACCCCAGTGCTTTTCAACACCCTCAACAGCAGCTGCTATAGCCTTTCCCTTCTCAACTGCCCTTTCCAAGCGAGCAATAGCATCGTACAGACATTTTGCTATATCAAGCAAAGCAATGACCTCCCCATTTTCCACAACAGGCAAATGTCTAAATTTTCCTGCAGTCAGTCAAATGTTGAATGTTATAATTTATAAGATTCTCTATCATGTGAAGTTGAAAGAAAAACAACCCCAACCTTGGACCATTTTCTGCAGAGCTTCAACAGCAAGAGTGTCAGAAAGCACAAAGACCGGATTTCTTGTCATAACCTTAGAAACCGGTGTTTCTTGAATATTAATTTCACGAGCAATTACTCTTGTTGCAATATCCTTCATTCACATAAACAAAAATAGAAGGAGATGAAATAGTTGGAAGAAGAAATCTATGTTCAAGACTCCAAAAGAACCATTACGTTTAGCAGTATTGAACATTATTCAAGTCAAACCTTATCTGTCATGATCCCACATAGTAATGCATTTGAGTCAGTCAACAATAAAGCATCAACTCTCCGAGCAGCCATACGGCGGCAAGCCTCATGTATAGTTGTCGTTTCAGGTACTGTAAGAGCTTTTGACAACCGCAATCGCTTCACTGTCCTCTCTCCAGTCAGTCCCCTGCTCCAATGAGTAGTAGAATAAATTGTTGAACTAAGAAACAATTGCATGCACATTAAAGTAAATTTAGACCAAAACACATGCATTATAGTATTGAACATAGCCAAGTGGAGATGGCACTTTATGTTCTTAGATCACAAAACCATAAGCATCATCTGTCCACAGTATCTCCACACTGATAATAAATCATAGTACTTCATTTGCAGATGTTCAAGTAAAATCATTAACTATACAAAAACATGCAAAATACAAATCTGAGCCAGAAAGACAAGGAACAAAGGGGATGTAGCCATGTAGGAAAGTGAAGACCCATTTATCCAGGCTTCTTGCAGAGGTGTAAAGCAAATGAATAGGCAGAACTCAAAAGAAAGCCAAAAGTATTACTAGTTTACTACTTTTTTTAAAAGGAATTTTCAATAATCATCCCATTCTAATTTGCTTAACCCCAAAAGTAACAGTATCAACATCGCATATCTCCTTATTCTTACAGGGATCTCAAAATCATTAAGAAAATTTACATTTCAACTCATATGTCCGGAAAGAAGAAAAATATCAGGAAATAGAGGATGTATCAGAAACGTAACCTTTTTGCATTACACACTACTTAAAAGAAAGAGAGATGGATGCAATATTTTGGCCACACCAAACAACACAAAAATCTACAAGCTCTTACTTATTCACGGTGAAAATATATACGAGCTAGAATAATCTAGATGGCATTCAACCTAAATGTTTGATCGATGTAACCAAAAAAAACACAAAAACCTACAAGATCTTACTCCTTCACGGTCTAAATACATACGAGCTAGAATCTAGATGGCATGCAACCTAAATGTTTGATGGATGTACAAAAAACAAAAACAAACTCGGTTAATTCAAAATCTGAAATCAACATATGTGAAACAGAGCATTGAACTGAACAAAGAAGAAATGCAAATAAAATATGCACAGCAAGGCGTTACAATAAGAACGCGATGCGGTGAGTATAGGGAGAGAGGAAAGCGAACATGGAGCGCGACGAGGAAAGAGACTTCCGGGAGGCGGAGTCTCCGAAGGCGTCGGACGCCGCTAAAGACCTCCTTCTGGCGTAGGACGGGGAGCTGACGCTGGACATTGTCATGCTTCTCCTGGACGGAGATCCTACACCTTGACTCGTCCTCATTGTAGGGAGGATGAGGAGAAGGAATGGATTCCCGGGAAATTTCGGTACGAGATGAAATTCCCGGGAAAATGGAGGGTGACGGAAGGGGAAGGAAGGAAGAGCCAATAGTTTTTATTTCTTGAGGAAAGGAAATGGGAGGAGAGGAATTGAACGGCGTTTGTGTTTTTATCTCCCTCTCTAAACAGACAAAACAGAATTTGATTTGAATTTTTATGGACGATGTGTTTTCGACGATGGCGTTCAGCCATGCCAACGTTTCTCCGTGACTCCGAATATATTTCCAATTTTTGCGGATTTCTCTTTTCTCGTTTCTCTTTTTTTTTTTTTTTTTTTTTTTTTTTTTTTTTTTTTTTAAATATATAAAACAGAGCAGTATTAATTTTGTTTTATTGATTATACTAGTATTTGCGCCCGTGCGTTGCACGGAATGAATTTGTTATAAAATTTTAAAAATATTTATATCGATATACAATTGTATAAACTATAAATTCGAATATTATATAATATAATTGAAGAATTGAGTTGCACCGATTATGTTTTCTGATGTTATCAATATTTGAATTCGAATAAATAATTGCCCAATTAATAGCTACCGTGTAGATATACGCATTCGGTGTTGCAACTTTAGAGATTTTATATATCAGTGTTTATAATTTGTATTAATTGGGCTAATTAGCTCGTTGTCTAGCAACTCAGTTATATAAATTATTTATACGGAAATATATTTTCTATGTAGATCAGCTATATAGCAATTTTGTCATTTTTGTATATAAAAAAGCATAATATCAATTGTTTAAATTATACATTATTGAAAATCTCTTTATAGCTAGACGGCATTGGTAGTAGTAACGGAATTTTATCCATCATCGTCTAAAGTTAAAACTATCAGACTATCAGGATGGGTGACTCGGAAAAAAGTAACATACAATTAATCGTGATTAAAGACTGATTTTTTCAGTAATAACTCAAATATTATATAGTGCAATTAAATATATGGTTTCGCCCGTGAATTTGTTGTAATATATTAAGAATATCTGAATTGATATATAATTATTTAAATTAGAACATTAAATATTATATAGTGCAATTGAAGATATAGTTTGGATCGTTTATATGTTTTGATGTTATCGTTGCTTGAATTTAAACAAATAATTGCTCAAATTAATAGCTAATGTGTAGATATACGCATGCAGTGTTGTAACTTTGAAGCTTTTATTTATCATTGTTTAGTATTTTTATAAATTAGGCAAACGTGCTAATTCTTTAGCAACTCAGTTATAGGAATGAATTGCTATCCTAATTCATTTGTATGAAAAATATTTTTTTTTTGTTGTCTAAATTGCTTTAAAAAAATTATTTTTTTGTGTGTAGATATATAGCAATTTTGTCATTAAAAAAAAACATAATATCACCAATTGTATTTACACATTATTAAAACCTCATATTGTAGACGACATTGGTAGTAGCAACATAATCATGTCCGTCATTGTCTATAGCTAACATCTTCAGTCCATTAGAATGGGTGATTCGGGTGAAAATATATCATCATAAAATATCAGTCAATTAGTAATATCATATTCATTTTCAACCAATTATTCTTTTTATTTTCCGTCAATTAATCAATTAGAATATCATATGCAATGGTATTTTTACCTAATTTCAGTTTTATTTTTAGTTGGTGATGTAGAATATTATTATTGAAATATTTCCGTTCCATTTTTAATTTACCTTTACTATTGTTTAAAATATGCCTTTACTATTGATGATGTAGAATATTATTATTGAAATATTATCTTTTCATTTTTAATTTACTTTTACTTGATGATGTAGAATATTATTATTGAAATATTTTTGTTCTATTTTTAATTTCCGTTCTTTTGTTTTAAATTTTGAAAGATTTATTGTGATATAATTGGTTCACATATTTCAATTATTTATTTTTTCTTTAATTATTATAAACAGAAATGATATTGTACTAATTAATTTATGATATTTATCAAATTGTATTTTTTAAAAATATAAGATTTACACATGTTATGAGGGGTTAAAAAAATATTTTAAAATGATTTTTTATTAGTATGAATTTTTATTTTAAAATATTTTATAGCAATCCAAACACTCCATTAGCCTCCCATAAAAAACTGATAAAAGAAAAGTCATTTCATTAAGGAAATTAAAATTAATTAAAGTAAATCAAATCATGCTATATTTATTTGTAACTGTATATTAATTTCATTTTGAAATTATTGATTCACATATATGAATTTTTTTTAATTATTATAATTTATAAACAGAAATGATATTCTACTAATTAATTTATAATATTTATCAAATTGTAATTTTAAAAAATATAAGATTTACACATGTTACTGGGGGAAGGGGAAGGGGAAGGGGGGGGGGGTGTAAAAAAATATTTTAATTTTTTTTTATTAGTAAGTATTCAAAAAATAATAATAATTTCCAGCAACTCAAACACTCCCTTAGTCTCCCACAAAAAACTGATAAAGAAAAGTCATATCATTAAGGGAATTAAAACTAATTAAAGTAAATCTAATCATGATATATTTATTTGTAACTGTATATTAGTTTCATTTTGAAATCATTGGTTCATATATTTGAAATTATTTATTTTTTTCTTTAATTGTTATAAATATAAATGATATTGTACTAATTAATTTATGATATTTATGAAATTGTATTTTTTTTAAATGTAGTGTTTTACCCGTGTGTTGCACGGAATTTTTTTTTGTTTTTATGAATTTAAAATTAAAATAAAAAATAAAAAAATGTTAAAATGTACAATATAATAATATAGTTGGACTTTTATATATTTGGTCAAGTATCTATTTTCATAACATACACAATTTAAATTTAAATTTTGTGTGGTTAATATAATCTCTAATCATGTACATATTTAGATAAATTTATAGAAAAAAAAATATAAATTATTAATTGTATTATATATATATATTATTAATATATAATAATTCTAAAAATATGAATAATAATAACTAAGAGAATTGTACTTAGAAATCAATAAAAATGTAAATTCTAAATTTTGTATGAACAAATATAAACTCTAATCGAACACATATCCTTATATGATTGTATAATACATTGTATATACACATAATATTTATTAATATATATATATATATATATATATATATATATAGGAAAATTATAATATAATTTCATTAATTTTAATTTATATTGATAGATTTATACTTAAAAAATTATATTTAAAAATTTAAAAAGTGTATGTATGTATATTTTAAAAAAAATTATAAATATTCATATTTTGTTAATTTTATAATTTCATTTCTTTAATTATATTTCATATTTTATTAATTATAATTTAATGAAATTGTCACAAATATTTCTACGGAAGAAATCTTATATTTCTCAAATTTCTTAATTATATTATTTATAATTACCAAATATTGTGACAATTACAATAATAATTTCATTAATTATATTAATTATAACATTTTTTCTCTTCCAATATTTAAATACATTACCATAATAATTACACAAAAGAAGGAAAGAAAAATTATGAGAATAATTACCTTTAATAAATTAGGAAATTATATTAAAAATAATCTATATATATTAAGGTAAGTATATTTATTTTGTGCCCAATAATATTATACATTAAGTATAAAAATTTATATGTATATAAATTACCATAATAATTACCCCGAAAAAGGTGACAACACATAATTATTAGGCAATAATATTAATAATTAATTATTAAGGCAAGTATAATTGATTTTGTACTAATAATATTATACATCTATACACTTTTAATTCTATATTGATAAGCATAATCTGTGTATATACTTTAAGAAAATATTCATTATTAAAAAGGGAATATAATTTAAAAAGTAAATTATTAATTAGATTACCTAATATAATTGTCCTACTAATTAATTCCATGCTACTATGTATAATAATTCATATATTTATTCATTATGAGTAATATTCATTTCCTTTTTCACTCATAGAAAGAGTTAATATTCATTTCCATTTCTTTTTCCTTCATAATTTTTTCCTAATATTTCATGTGATGGTTACTAATTTTTTCGTAGGGAAAGCGGTGTTATATTTTCAATAAATTTTTAATATTAAATCTTTTTTTCATTTGGCCTGATTCCTATGTCTATTAGTAACAAAATATTAATAATAGATTCTCGTGTGTAAAATTCATTTTTTTCTGTTCATATTCATTTCTTTTTTCCTTCATAAATAATTAATATAATTATAAAAATATAATTACTGATTATATTTTAAGTGAAATATGGATATATTCATTTCATTTTTCATTCATAGAAAGAGTTAATATTTGTTTCCATTTATTTTTCCTTCATAATTTTTTCCTAATATTTCATTTGGTGGTTACTAATTTTTTTTTTTTTAGGGAAAATTGTGTTATATTTCCAATAAATTTTTAATTTTAAATCATTTTTTTCATTTGGCATGATTCCCATGCCTATTAGTAACATAATATTAATAATAGATTTTCGTGTGTAAAATTCATTCCTATTTCTGGTCATAAAAACAATCTGGTACGTTTGTAATATTCATTTTCAATCACAAAAACAATTTGGTACGTGTTTAATAATCATTTCCTTTTTCCTTTACCCTAATTTTTTGTGTAGCAAATTAGTTATTTACTTATTAAGCACATTTTTTTTTTAATTCGAGTCGATTTTTAATATTAATTTCTTTTTTCTTTTGGTATGATTTCTGTGCCAAAAGCTGTGTTATATTTTTAGCAAGGTTGCAAAAATCGCTAGGCGCCTGGGGACCGCCTAGAGCGATTAATGGCGCCTAGGCGCGATTTTTACAACACTGATTTTTAGTGAAATATAAACATATTCATTTGTTTTTTTTCATATTTCATTTCCTTTTGAATATATATATTTCTTTTTTATTTCCTTCATAAAAAGAATTAATATTTATTTTTATTCATTTTTCTAATAATTGTCAATTAATTGGCCTGATTTTCATGTCGATTAGTAACATGATATTAATAACAGATTTCTTTGTGAAATATTCATTTCCTTTCTCGTTCATAAAAAGAATTAATATTCATTTCCACATAATTAAAAAGTAATATAATTATAAAAAAATATAATTACTGATTATATTTCCAGTAAACTATTAATATATACATTTCATTTTTCTTTCATAAATAATTAATATAATTATAATAATTATAATCATATAA